CCGCCCACTGGCCAGCGCGCCCCTCCGCCCCGACCCATTGCTATAGGCCCTCCGCATCCCCCCACCCACCAGCCAGCGCGCACCCTCCGGTCCGCGCCCCCCTCTGCATCAACCGGCGCGCCCTCTCCGCCCCGACCCTTTTATTTCGGCGCGTCGCCACCCCCTCCGCCCCAGCCCTTTTATTTCGGCGCGGCGCCGACCCCCCCACCCACATTCAGCACGGCCCCTCCGCGTCATTCCGTCCGCCAGCCAGCGCGCCCCCTCCGCCCCGGCCCCGTTATTGCGGCACGACACCGCCCCCCCATCCCACGGCGCTTCGTCTGCATCCCCCACCAGTGGCCAGCGCGCCCCTCCGCCCCGACCCATTGCTATAGGCCCTCCGCATCCTCCCACCCACCAGCCAGCGCGCCCCCTCTGGCCCGCGCCCCCCTCCGCATCAACCAGCGCGCCCCCTCCGCCCCGACCCCTTTATTTCGGCGCGGCGCCGCCCCCTCCGCCCCAGCCCAGTCATTTCGGCACGGCGCCGACCCCCCCACCGACCACATCCAGCACGGCCCCTCCGCATCATTCCGCCCGCTCTCCAGCGCGCCCCCTCCGCTCCGACCCCTTTCATTTCGGCACAGCACCGCCCCTCCCATCCCGAGCGCCCCCTCTGCGCCACCCCACCCGCCGGCCAGCGCGCCCCCTCTGCCCCGACCTTTTTTTTTCGGCGCGGCACCGCCCCCCCCCATCCCGAGCGCCCCCGCCGTCGCCCCGTCCACCAGCCAGCGCGCCCCCTTTGCCTCCTCCCTCTTCCTTTCTGTGCAAGAGCCATGGCGCGCGTGCCACTTGTTTATTAAACACATATACATGAGTGTGTGTACACTATCATTCTTAGTCGTATTACTATTATCATTCTGATTATTATTAGTATTGTCATTATCATCGTTATTCTTAGTATTAGTAATAGAATAACAATATAGCATTTGCTTCTTCTCGGCTTTCCGACGACCCGAGATGGCCCAAGAGCTCCCAAATATCGCCCCAATCTCGCCCGACGGCGTCAGACGGGCCAGGAACCCATCAAGGCGGCCCAAGATGGCTCTAAGATGGCCCAAGACAGCCCAAAAAAACCCCAAGAGGTCTCCGAGACGGCGAGTGGTCTTTTGTGCGGCCCGTTGGTCTTTTGTGCGGCCCGTTAGGTTCTTGCGCGGCCCGGCGCGCGGCCGGGTGAGTCTTATTGCGGCCCGCGCTGGTCTTTCAGTTTAAAGCAATATGTAAAGGTGTCCTTCTTTAACCCTAGAAATCCTGGCAACCCTTAGGGGCTTGCGTTCCCACCCAGAAAAAATGCAAAGGACAATCTGGAGGCGCGTTGGAAACAGTTTAGTAGTAGCTGCGCCAATCTTCAATATAACATTCAGAAAGACAGCTTTTGAAGCAACGTGATAAGCCCAGCTGTATATCCGAGGGTGTGTTACGCTGGAGACACGGTTCGAAACACGTTCTCGGAATAATCGTCCTCCTGAGCATCACGATCATCATCATCATCATCATCATCATCATCATCATCATCATCATCATCATCATCATCATCATCATCATCATCGTCAGCATCATCATCACCATCATCAACAGCATCATCATCATCAACGTCATCATCAACATTTTCATCCTCATCCTCCCCGTCATGATCTTCCTCCCCTCGTCTTGCACTTGTCAGTCTCACATGCGTAATCTCCCTTCATCCCTCTTCCTTGTCATCATCACCCTGGCCCCCATGTTCCTTCTGCTGGCTTCTCACCCTGAACTGTTCCCGCTCCTCCTCCTCCTCGTGGTTCATTGCTCCTCCTCTCCCTCCGCACTATGCTCCTCTCGCTGCGTGCTCCTGCTGTCTCCCTTCCTGTTAGCCCCTCCTGTTGCCTACCTTTATGTTGGCTGCTCCTGCTGCATGATCCTCCTCCCTCCTCCTCCTCCTTCTCGCCTCCTCCTCCTCCTCCTCCTCCTTCTCGCCTCCTCCACTTCATCCACCACTACATCCTCCTGGCTCCTCCTGCTCCTTCTCCTCCGCCTCCTCGTCCTTATCCTGCCTCCTACCGCCTTGTCTTCCTCGTCGTCGTCCTCGTCAACGTCTTCGCCCTCAGCTTAGTCCTCCTCCCCCTCCCCCTCCTCCTCCTCCTCGTCATCATCGGAATCGAAATCATACTCAGAATCAGCATCATCATCACCACCACCATTGTCCCCACCACCACCATGTTCAGCATCATCATCAGCATCATCACCAGCATCAGCATCATCCTCATCCTCATCCACATCATCATCACCATCGCCATCATCAACATCATCATCATCATCATCATCATCATCATCATCATCGTCATTGTCACCGTCACCGTCATCGTCATCGTTATCGTCATCGTCATCGTCATCGTCGACATCCGCATCGTCGCCGTCCTCCTAATCATCATACTCAGCTTCATCATCAGCATCGACACTATCGTCATCCTCATCAGCAACATCATCATCACAGCCATCATCATCATCATCATCATCAGCATCAGCATCAGCATCATCATCATCATCAGCGTCAGCATCAGCATCAGCATCATTATCACCATCATCATCATCATCCACAACATCAGCAACACCATCAACATCATCACCAGCAGGATCGACAGTAACACCAAACTCATGCTCGTGCTCATCCTCCTGATCCTCCTCCTCCTCCTCATCCTCCTCTTCCTCCGTCAGCGGAAAGTCCTCCTGCTGTTGCGGATGCGGCGGCCGATTTGCAAGTCGCGTGGCCGCTCGAGGAGGAGGAAGAGGAGGAGGGGAAGGATGTGGAGGAGCAGCAGCAGCAGCAGCGGCAGCAGCAGCAACAGGAGGGAGAGGGAAAAAGGAGGAGGGAGGCGGAAGGGGGAGGAGGGAGGTGAGAGGGAAAAGGGGGCCCGAGGAGGCTCTACAGGTGCCCAAGAAGCCCTTCAGGGGGGGCAGAGGCTCTTCAGGGGGGCAAGACGCTCTTCAGGGGGGCCAAGAGGCTCCTCAGAGCCCCCCCCAGAAGTTCTTCAGGGGGCCCAAGAGGCTCTTCAGAGGCCCCACGACGCTCTTCAGAGGCTCTGCGGAGGCCCCAAGAGGCGGCTCGTCAGAGGCCCCAGTGGGCTCTTCAGAGGCCTCAAGAGGCTCTTCAGAGGCCCCAACAAGCTCTTCAGCGGGGTGAGACACTCTTCAGGGGGCCCAGGAGGCTCTTCAGAGGCCACCCAGAAGCTCTTCAGAAGCCCCGAGCGGCTCTTCAGAGACCCCAAGCTCTTCAGAGGCTCCACGAGGCTCCTCAGAGCTCCCAAGAGGCTCTGCAACGGCCACAAGATGCCCTCCGGGGGGCCCAGGAGGCTCTTCAGGGGGGCCCCAAGAGACTTTTCAGCGAACCTTCAGGGGGCCCACGAGGCTCTTCAGAGCCCGCTTCGCCGTTCTCGAGGACTCATATACTCTGGAAAACCTTTGGCCGAACTCAAGCCCACCAAGCCGCACAAACGCCCATCTGGCCGCAGTAGAACCGTATCTCTCCAAAACCTCCTGGATGGCCCCAGAGCGGCCCAAAAAGCCTCCAAGACGGCCCCAAGAGGGCCCCCAGGCGGCCCAAGAGGCCTCCAAGACGCCCAAGATGGCCTCCAAGATGGCCCTGGAGCACCCCAAGAGGGTTTCAAGCCGGCCCAGAGAGGCCCCCAAGACGGCTTCCGACGGCGTCAGACGGGCCAGGGATGCCCTGAGACAGCCAAAGAGGCCCCCGAGGCGCCCCCAAACGCACCCAAGAGGCCCAAGGAGGCCCCCAATATGCCTCCAAAAGGCTCCCAGGAATCTCCCAGAAGGCCCCAAGAGTGCCCCCAGAGGCTCCCAAGATGCCCCTTCCTCCTTCTCCTCCTGCTCCTTCTCCTCCTGCTCCTCCTGCTGCTGCTCCTCCTCCTCCTCCTCCTCCTCGTCCTCGTCCTCTTTCGCTCCTCTCCTCTCCTCTCCTCTCCTCTCCTCTCCTCTCCTCTCCTCTCCTCTCCATTCCTCTCCTCTCCTCTCCTCTCCTCTCCTCTCCTCTCCTCTCCTCTCCTCTCCTCCTCCTCCTCTTCCTCCTCCTCCGCCTCCTCCTCCTCTTCCCCGCTATCCTTCGCCAAGTGTTCCTCGAAGGGTTTCCACAACGGTTGGGGGAACACATGGTCCGATAGCTTGGCAGAGCTCTTGCCACAACGCTCGGCCACATGGGCGATTTCAAAAGGCAGGGGGCGGCGGTGATTCGCCATAGGCTTCTTCGGTATAAACACAGATTTTCGAACTTTCATTGCTGTTCCCCCCCGGTGCCTTCTGAATGGCCCAAGTCTCCGCATGCTGCTTTGCTTCACCTTCCTGGTCGGCTGCCGTTGCCGCAATACTGCTGCGCCTCGCTTGATGCTTTGGCTCGTCACTGCCATACCACCCTCTCTCCGCTATTTCCCCTCGCTCCTCTCCCTTCGCGACTGCCCCCTCGCGAATATTGCTGTCGATCCCCTGTGGTTGGATCCGACTGCTCCACGCTGCGTGAGCTGGCCCGGCCCGCGCGCTCCCGCCTGACTTGACCTATGCCGCGCCGCCGCGCGCGCGGCCGCGACGCCAAAGAGTGTGTAGTGCTTGTGCGTGTGTGCGAGTGCGCGTGTGTGTGTGTGTGTGTGTGGGTAGGTGTGTGTATGTGTGTGTGTATGTGTGTGTGTATGTGTATGTGTGTATCTGTGTGTGGGGGACGGATGGGTTCTTTCTTTCATGTGTTGTTCGTGAGTTCATAGAAGCCGTGGGTGGGGTGGGGGCTATCGGCTGGTGGAAGAAGACTGCGGAGCAGGATCTACCTCGTGTGGGTATTCTCGGATGTGGAGGAGGAGGGAGATAGAGGAAAGGGCACCGGGACCGGAGGTCAGGGGAGATGCGGCGAGGAGTCAGGGGTTAGAGGAAACGGAGTGGAGGACAGGAAATCAGAGTAGAGGAGAGGACACGATGGGGGAGAACATGAGTCCGCACGGAGCGCGCGCGTGGTTCTAGGTAACAACGTTGACATCTCACGTCGGCACCCGCAACCTTCCGCTGGCCGTCCGCCGGCTTCTGCCGGCGGAACCGCCCCCGTCTTACGTCCGCTGGGCCGTTTCGCTGCCCTCCCGCCGAGAAAGGCGAGGCAATTCCTCGATCCCTCGAGGGCGAAGCCGTATCTGGAGCGCCCCAGATGTCCCATGCACTCCTGAATGTGCTGGGCTTCGGCCCATCGAAGAGGCCAGCCTCCCCCCGCCCACCAGCGGCGTCGCCGTCGGCGGGGGGCGCGACACCGTACTGGCACAGCAAGCCGTGGTCGGACCTCAGCGATCAATCCCCTCCTCTTCCTCCTCCTCCTCCTCTTGCTCATCCTTGTCCTCTTCCCCCTCCGTTCCTTCTCCTTCTATATAACTTTTCCCTGTCGCACCCCGAGCATAATTTTTTAGGGCGAACCGGGCGTTTCGCCTGAGACTTTCTCACCACTTTTGACTCTGAAGCTTTAAAAGTGGCAAAGGTTTCAAAATGTGACTCTCGCCTTAGCGCCGCGCGCATCGTTTTCAAAATTTGCAAGAGTTTCACGGATTGAGGGCGGGCCGTTTTCAAAATGTGGCTCTCACCTTAGCGCCGCGCACATTCGTTTTCAAACATTTGCAAGAGCTTCACGGATTGAGGGCGGGTCGTTTTCAAAATGTGTCTCTCGCCTTAGCGCCGCGCGTATTCGTTTTAAACATTTGCAGGAGTTTCACGGATTCCCATGGTCAACGTACCAGAGACGGTGTTTTGGAAGGATTCAGGATGATGCGGGCGCAACACATCTCTTGATTCGCGGTGCTGTCCCACACGTGGCGTCTGGCACGATTCCGGATCGTCAAGACGCAGCAATCAGGTTGATACGTGGCGTTGAAATCCTGAGAACAATGTTTTGGCACGCTTCAGGATCTTCAAACGGTTGCCTTGCAACGAGGCAGTTCCCTCAATGTAGGGGCCTACGAAGAGGGAGCTTGGAGGGAGGGTTCATTCCAACATCGTTGATGACTCTTGGGTTTGCACTGGTCCGTCTCCTCCTCCTCGTCCTCCTCCTCCTCCTCCTCCTCCTCCTGCTCGTCCTTGTCCTCTTCCCCCTCCTCCCCCTCCTCCTCCTCCTCTTTCCTGATCCTCCTCCCCTCCGCCCCCCCCTCCTCCTCCTCCTCCTCCTCCTACTCCTCCTCCGCCCTATGCTCCAGCGATCCCCCCCGAACTGGGCCACGAGAAGCACAGCCAGCGACATATTTTGCGAGTGTGATTTTAGGGTCGTTTTTGTTTGTCTGTATTGGTGAAGGACGAAGTTCTAAAGCAAGGGCTCGGTACCAGATACAGTGATGAAGTGCACGCCTTAGACTGCTTCAGCGCTTGCGCTCGATAAATAAACGCAGTGATGGAGCGCACGCCGTGGGTTGCTGGAGCGCGGCCCTACTAAAATTTGGGCGCTGGAGCGCCAGCTGCCGGAGCGTTGCCCCTCGAACAATGAGGTTCTGGAGCGCACCCTTGAGTGCAGAATGGGATGCTGTCGCGTTTTCACAATCAAAATTGGGCGCTGGGGCTACACCCCGTGTAAAACTTTGAACGCGAGGTGGACGAATGGCGCGGCGGGGGCGGGGCTGCTAGCATTGAGAACGCCTCGCTCGCAAGCGGGACCCGTTACTTGCCACGTGTGTAGAGGGCAGAAAGAAGACGCACTCATCATGAAGAGGAAACACCCCGAGAAGCGAAGCTGTTTAGTCAACGCACCCAAGGAAGGAATCGAAGATGACAGGGCTGCTTAGTAAACGCCCAAGGCGGTGTCGTAAACGCCAACCACGGGGGTCGGGGTATTTTTTCCTCCCTGTAATGTGTCGTGGCGCCGTGTGTGTGTGTATGTGTGTGTATGCGCGCGGGGAGTGGAGGGGGCAGCAGGAGGAGGAGGAGGAGGAGGAGGAGGAGGAGGAGAGGAGGAGGAGGAGGAGGAGGAGGGAGGGGGGGAGGAGGGGGGATGAGGGGGGGGGAGGAGAGGGGAGGAGGAGGGAGAGGAGGGGAGGAGGGGGGGGAGGAGGAGGAGGAGAGGAGGGGAGGAGGAGGAAGGAGGAGGGGGATGGGGAGGAGTGGGGGAGGATGATGATGATGAAAGACCCTCGAAAGGGGAGTGCACAGCATAAAGCCGCGCGCCCCCGCCGGCCGGCGGGCGCCCGGCCGGCCGCGGGGCGCTCGCGGCGCGGGCGGCGCGCGGCGCCGCGGGCCCCCCGCAAGCGGGCAGCATGGGAATAGCTGGCCAGCTCCCCCCCCCCACGTTCTGTCGGCCGGAAACGGCCCAGCCGGAAACACCCGGCAGCCGACAGAACGGGGGGGGGCCAGACCAAGCCAAACCCACGCCACCCACCCCAGGGGCCCGAACCCGCCACGACACGACACGACGCGACACGACAGGGGGACGAAACGAACGACGCGACACGAACGACACGACGCGGACGAACGACACGACAGAGACGAGCCGCCGGTCCCGCCCCAGGGCGGCGAGCGATGGGGGGAACCAGCACCGCCCTGGGGGAGGCCACGGGACCTGGCGACCCCCCCGGGGGAAGGAAACCGCACTTTGGCGGCGTCCCCCGGGGAGCGGGCGCTTTTCGCCCCTCGGGCCCGGCGCTCCCCGCCTGCGCCAGGAGGACCCTAGGGTCCCGACCCCTCCCCAGCGGGAGGGGCCCCATCGGGGCGGGGGAGGGGGAGGAGGGGAGGAGGGGAGAAGGGGGAGCAGAGGGGGTGACTGTGCGCGGGCGAGGCGGGTGTGCACGCGGGCGCGCACGTGCGCGCGGGCGGCCGCCGCTCGCGCAGGCGCGCGCGCGGGGAAGATGGGCTCCAGAGGATGAAGGTTGCGCCACGTTGCTGCCCGTGTCGCCCGAAGGGCGCCCTGTGGGCGCCCCGCACTTGGGGTGTGTGCTCAGATCGGGCATGGCCTCCTACAGGCAGAGTCTGGGCGACGAATAGGACATAGTCGAATCGTAAGCAAAAAGAGTCAAACCAATAGTCGAACGACTCGTCGCCCGACTATGTCTTGGCTGTTCTTAGACATTCCTCCCGCAGAGGGACGTGCCCGACTCAAGAGCAGCCTCGGGTCCACGGCCTGCCCGGCGCTGCATGCGGTGCGACAGCAGCGGCCTGCGTGCCCGGGTCTGCCCCCCCTCCCCCCTCTCGCCCTCCCCCTCCCCCTCTCCGCGCCCCTCCTGAGAGCCAGGCGCCCACGGCCGCGTCGGCAAAGGGTCACTCTTACGCGTACGGCGGGTCTCAAGGGGCCCTGGGGCACGCAAATGAGCAGGCACAACTCCCAGGATTCCCCAGGTTTTCCAACAGTTTCTGCGTTTCCGTCTTCCCCCCCACTTCCCATATGTTCCCATATGTTCCCATATTTTCCTGGGAGTCGCCGATTCGTTGTGTCTGTGTTTTTTCCCCTCCTGAAGGTTTGTGTTGTATCGTGCACCCACGGCCACGTCAGCAAAAGGTCACTCTGACTTCCTATGAGTTTGGCGACTTTTTGCCAGCCGACTTGTGGGGATCGAGCCAGTTTAGATCCAGGCAGATGCAGATACATCGAAGTACATAAATCCATGTGAATCTGGGCAAATCCAAGTAAATCCAAAGATCTGCAGGTAAAGTTGGGGCAAATCGCGGCCGCTCCAGCGCGAGTCGACGGACGGCAGAAATCGTGAAGCCCTCAGCGACTTACGCGTACGGCAAACTTGTGCCGCGCCGACTTCCGCGTTGGTTTCTGACACTGCGGGGATCGTTCAATCTTGAACGATCGGCCGTTTCCGAAACGCCAGACCGTTCAACATCGACCGATTCTGGGTCGCTGGCGGCGTTCAACATTGAACGCCGGCGGTGGAGTCGCCGCCGGTGAACACGACACGAACCCACTGTGCGCGCATCCCGCGCGTGGCCAGAGGATGCCCTGCATGGCCTCGGGCCGACAGGAGCTGGAAGGCGGCCGTGCCACTCACAGCACGGGCCTCTCGGCCCCAAGGCCACCGCTCGGGCGCGGCCAGAGGCGGAGGGGAAACGGCAAAACCGGGAAGCGAGGGGCCCGAACTGCATCCGGAGGACTCGTGGGAATCTGGGGGCCCCCAGAGGCTCAGGAGGGAGGGATTGCGAGGGAGCGGGGGACGACGACCACAATCAGACCCGCTCGGCCAGCCCCAAAAGGGAGCTGGCACCATAGATGGGGTCGGAGAATCGAGACGCATCGCCGACACATCGGCGATGCATCGGCGATGCGCCCGCGATGCATCGTCGACGTCGGCGATGCATCGGCGATGTCGACGTGAGGCAAATCGGGCTGCACGTCGAGCCGCATCGGCGATGTATCGGCGATGCGAAACGATCCTCCGACCCGATCTACTCCGACCCCATCTAAGAGGCCTAGATGGATGCATTGGGGGGCTTCCGGGTAACTTCCAGGGGACCTCCGAAGGCTTCCGGGGCGGCGCTAAAACCAGCCCTCGCTCCTCGCTCCTCGCTCCTCCTCCTCCACCTCCTCCTCCTCCTCCTCCTCCTCCTCGATCCTCCTCCTCCCCTTCCTCCTCTTCCTCCTCTTCCTCCTCCTCGCTCCTCCTCCTCCTCGCTCCTCGCTCCTTGCTCCTCCTCCTCCTCTTCCTCCTCCTCCTCCTCCTCGCTCCTCGCTCCTCGCTCCTCCTCCTCCTCCTCCTCCTCCTCGCTCCTCGCACTCCTCCGCATAGACACCACCCCCCAGACGATTGGCCCAGCAACGATTCCGGAGCCGCACCGGCTCCAGAGCCGATCTCTTGAGTCGAGCGAGACCGCCACGCACGAGAATTTTTGGCGCGGCAGCCGATCCTGGATCGAGCGACTACGATCGCGTCGCGAGGAGAAGGAGGAGGAGGAGCAAGAGGAGGAGGAGGAGCGAGGAGGAGGAGCGAGGAGGAGGAGTAGGAGTAGGAGGAGTAGGAGGAGTAGGAGGAGGAGCAGGAGGAGGAGCAGGAGGAAGATGAGGAGGAGGAAGTCCCCAGACCCGCCGCACCACCGGCGGTCGCGCCGCGATCGTGAGCGTGTCTAGTGCGGGACGCAGCCTCGCTGTAGGCGTGCGTCACCTCTTCGCCAGGCGAGATGTCGCGCTCCGCAACCATGAGGACGCTGCCGCCCTCCTGGACGCAGAAGCAAGTGCGCCGAGGGGTGCGTACGCCGTCTCCGTCAGCGTGGTTCAGCAGATCCAGCAGAGGCAGCATTGCCACCGAGGACTGCCCGCCCGGTGTGGACAGGACGAAGCTTCGCGTCAGCACGAGGCCGAGGGCTCTCCTCGGCAAGCTCATGGGACCGGCGTCGCACAGGCGCGGGTCCGAGTCGCCCAGTTCCTCTGGCATCCGGCGGGGATGCACAAGGATCATGGCGTGCTTGTTTATCAAGCGCACATCAATTCGCACGTGCGCGTGTAGCCCTAATCGGGGGAGGCGGGGGGTGATTCGTCCCCACCGATCACATCACTCGGCGAAGGGCCGCCGGAAATCGTAGGAGACCCTGGAAGAATCCGCAGGAAATCTATCTCTGCACATGTGGGCAAAAGAGCGTGACAGGGCTCCTCGGGACTTCTCGGAGCGTTTCGTGGGCCATCTCGGAGCCCTCTTGGGCCGTCTTGGGCCCCTCTTGGAGGCGTCTTGGGCTGTCTTGGGGTGGTCTTGGGAGCTTCTTGAGCCATCGTGAAGCAGCGGAAAGCAGAAAATGCGGGGGAGGGGGGCGAGGGAGAGGGCCGATCACGGCCGTTATCGCCTAGATTTTTTGTCAGCAAAAACAAACTCAACTCCTACGACAGAAACACCGCCATATTCTAGGACAAGAACAAACAATATAAAGATAAACTTGTGGTGCTCTGCGCAGATTTCTTGGATCCGCGCTGGACCCCCCTCCCTGGCGCGCGGAGCGCGCCGGGGGGGTCGGGGCGCCCATCCAAGAAATCTGCGCGGAGCACCAAAAGCTTCATGGCGTTTTTTCTCCTTCGAGATTCAGCATTGGCACACCATTCGCCTTCTAATGGGGGTCAGACTATTAGGGGTCAGAGTCAGCGAAGGGCAACCTAAGGAAAATTGATTTTCTGAGAAGAATGTTGGCTTGGTCCAAATACTTCCAAAGGAATTGCCTCAGAAAAGGCAAGGAAGGCATCGCTCTTGATAAACATACGATCCCGGGTGAAGGAAAATCAGCGAAATTGAGCCCACCTTTTCCTGACCCCCAAATGGCTGACCCCCAGTAACAGTCGAAGGAACCACACTCCTTTACACCACACCCCTATTTTGTCTCCAGATCGTTCATTGTACCGACTTTGCAGACGTGTTGCATCGGATATTTTTTTGCGTGGATTGCTGTTAATGCAAAACCCCGAAACTGCTAGTCAAAAACGAAGTGAATTTCACGTGAACTCTATTTCGTCTTCGTTTTCACGTGAACTCTATTTCGTCTCCGTTCCTAGCCAGAAACAAACCCGCGCGAAATTCACCTCGAACTCCGGCACGAAATCCTCCAGGTCAATCCGGGCCCATCCAATTGTTTTCCGAACGAAGCCGTGAGCGTTTTTTTATTCGGCGTTTCGACATTGGGCTGAAAGGGGGAAGTGCGACTGTTGGCAGCAGTGCGGCCGATGGGAGAGGGACCCCACCTGCTCGAAACGGGCGCACAAAACGGCCAAGATCTTCTCCATGGGCGGGGGGAGTGGGGGGGGGGGCGAGGGCCAGCGCCGATCGGCAAAACAATGCAGGAAAAAAAAAGTGCCCACATCGGCTCTGCGATGTCTCCTGCGCCTCCAGATCTCTTTCGGCCCCGGGGTCCTCCCGCAGCAGCGCCTGGCAGGCCTCGCCGTGGGCCGCGGCCTCGCGGTACCGGGCGGCGAGCAGCGGGGTCCGTGCCGCCAGCGCCGCTCGCGACCGGCCAATCCGAGGTGGCCCAGGCCCAGAACTCTGGGGCCCTCGACCCCTGGAGAGCTGACGGGGCCCAGGGACACACGAAGAAGGACACGCACAAGTCCGAGGATTCCCATGCTTCTCACATCTTCTGGATTCTCACCCTCCCCCCTCCGCTTCCCATACTCTTCCAGTCGTCTCCTGGGAATCGACGATTCATCGCTTGTGTCTGTTTGTCTTCCCCCTCCCGAGTGGCCCAGGCCCAGACCTCTGTGTCGCTCGACCCCTGAAGCATCTGTTCCTTCTCCAGACGCCCTCGCGTCGTGAACACTCACGGCGGGGAATTTCCGCCGCTATTTTCGGCCTGCGGGGGCCCTCACCGGGCCCCAGGACCGTCAGAAAGCGACTCGGCAGGGCGTCGGGGGTCTGGGGAAGCGGTCCGCGTCCAGGCACGCCAACCAACTCGTGGCGCCTCTGCTTCGAAGGAGGCTCTCCAGCAGGATGGTCGGAACACGAAAGGGCGGCACGACGGGTTTCCCCCCTTTCCGATCGGGCTGAGATTAAGACGGCGACCAGTAATAAGATATCAAAGTTGCCGGGAAGAATTCTTAGGAGCCGAACGAAAGTTAAAAGATCATTCAACCTCTTTTCCAACGGGAGAGATTTTGTACATTCGGACTCGACGTCTGCGAGGATTGATGGAGTCGGCGATGGACCCCCTCCCTGCACCTTGTGGATGTCATGGCAATGGACACCCTACCAATCGTATCATTGATTTAAATCTGCGTTAACATGTTTGACACACGTTCTAGCAGTGGTTTAAGTCTGTTTTTTTCAAGTGTAAGACATGCGCAAAACATGTTGAGAGCTCTGTAAAGTACTTGGCAACGTGCTGCCTCTCCACCGACCGCCGTCCACAGCGGTGGACCCCCTCCCCGCGCCCCTTCCCCGCAGCGCGAGGCGCGCCCAAGGGGGGGTGGGGCGCTGGTGGCGGCGCCCGGTGGCACGGGGACGGGCTCCATCGCCGGCCCGAGACAGATTCGGGCCACCATCCCAAGAGGTCTGGTTGTAAGTCGGGCACGTCCCTCTACAGAAGGAATCTTCTAAAATAGTCAAACAAATAGTCTGGGGGCGATTTGTCAAATATTTGTTGTACTATTTTGGAATATTGTTTGTTTCTTATGTATTGGAATCCGCCAGCCCCCTTGCGGGGCCATCAGGCTGCGAGGATTAAGGTTGCTGCTCCCTGCGCCAGTTCCAGTTTCCATTGTTACAGTACTGCTTTCTGCTTCCTACTGTAAATTGTTACTGTCCGCGCGAGGGGGGGGGGCCGAAAAGGGCCCTGGTTAGCGTCCCCCGCGAGGGTTCTCAGAAATTCTTGGGGGGCGTGGGACACGTAAAAATGCGGGAGTTTCGTGCCCCCGAAGCCATAAGCCCTCGCAAAGTACACTGTATTCGCGCCCCCGAGGCCACGATCCTTCGTAAATTACGCCGCATTCGCGTCTCCGAGGCCACGATCCCTCGTAATTTACACCACATTTGCGTCTGCGAGGCCACGATCCCTTGTAAATTACTCCGCATTCGCGCCCCCGAAGCCACGATCCCATCTAATTTACATAATTGTCGCGCCCCCGAGGCCACGATTCCTAGTAAATGATGACAAATTCGCGCCCCTGACGCCACGATCCCCCGCAAATTACGCAGCGGGCGCGCCCCCGAGGCCACGAATCCGCCTTGCGGAGGCTGCCGAAAAGGTGTTCCCCCTCTCCAAAGCAGAAAAACGGTAACTTTCTGTATTGGGATCTGTGCTCTGCTGGTATTCTTTTGCCCCCCCCTCGTTTCTGGACAATTCGGCGGTGGGTCCCACATTCACCCCCCCAGGCCACGATCCCTCGTAAGTTACGCCACATTTGCGCCCCCGAGGCCACGATCCCGTGTGAATTACACCACATTCGCGCCCCGAGGCAACGATCCCTCGTAAATTACGCCGCTGTCGCGCCCCCCAGGCCACGATCCCGGGTAAATTACGCCACGTTCGCGTCCCCGAGGCCACGATCACTTGCAAATCACACCAAATTCGCGCGCACCCCCCACGCTACGAATCCACCTCGCGAAAGCTGCCCGAAGGCGCCACTCCTTCTCCAGAGCAGAAACAAATAACCTTCCCAGAAATTGCCTGAAGCAATCCCCAGCCGTTCCCAAAGCGCTTCCGAACAACTGGAGGAAAATGCCGAGAAGGCAACAAAGCGTTCAACAACAACTTCAACATCTCAATCTGTTTTGCTCATCGCCAGCCGCCCTAGCATGACGTTCCCGAATGTCATCAAGACGGCGCCCGAACATCCCAATCTGGCTCTGATGTATCCCATTGTGATAGAGAGGGGGCCAGCGTCAGGGGGCGAAGCCCTTACGGATTATCCGTCCACTCCTCTTCCTCCTTCCCATTTTCTCTTCGAGCGCATAAGCCACCAATTCGCCTGGCGCGGGTTTCTCCTGAAGACTGGGGGAAACCGTTGTCAAACCATTTGTGTATATATATATATATATATTTATATATGTATATAGGTGTATGCATGTATGTATGTATGTATGTATGTATGTATGTATGTATGTATGTATGTATGTATATGTGTGTGTATATCTGTATGTATGTACGTACGTACGTATGTATGCATGCATGCATGTATGAATGAATGTATGTATGTGTGTATGCATGTATGTATATATATATATGTATGCATGTATGTATGCATGCATGCATGTATATATATATATATATGACATGGATGTTTATATATCAGAATGAAGGGGGCCGAACGGTCATTCACTGTCCCTGGGTGCATGGCTGAAGTGGAGTTCCGCGGTGCGGATTCTCGTTGTTATTGTTGTTGTTTGTTGTTGTTTGTTGTTGTTTGTTGTTGTTGTTTGTTGTTGTTGTTTGTTTGTTTGTTTGTTTGTTTGTTTGTTTGTTTGTTGTTGTTGTTGTTGTTGTTGTTGTTGTTGTTTGTTGTTGTTTGTTGTTGTTTGTTGTCGTCGTCCCACCCGCAACCCGCCCCGCGACCCACCCGCGACCCAACCCCGCGACCCACCCCGCGACCCACCCGCGACCCACCCGCGACACACCCGCGACCCATCCCGCGACCCACCCCGCGACCCACCCCGCGACCCACCCCGCGACCCACCCCGCGACCCACCCCGCGACCCACCCGCAACCCACCCGCGACCCACCCGCGACCCACCCGCGACACACCCCGCGACCCACCCGCGACACACCTTCGACCCAAACCACGTTGAAGATACAAACCACCATTTTCGGCGCCTGCGGCGGTTTTTTTTTGCATTCCTTCCAAGTGGAGAGCCCGCGACCCACCCCGTGACCAACTCGCGACCAACCCGCGACCCAAACCACGTTCAGGGTACAAACCATATTTTTCGGCGCCTGCGGCGGGCATCTTTTGCACTCGTTTCAAGTGGAAGGCCCGCGGCCCATCCGCGACCACGTTCACGGTGCAAATTGTATTTTTCGGCGCCTGCGGCGGGCATCTTTTGCATTCGTTCCTGGTGGAGAACCCGCGGCCCACCCGCGACCCAAACCACGTTCAGTGTACAAACCAATTTTTGTTGGCGCCTGCGGCGGGCTGCTTTTGCATTCTTTCCAGGTGGAGGTGGAGAGCCCGCGACCCACCCGCGACCTAAACCACGTTCACTGAACAAACCAATGCCGCACAAACGCGGCGGCGGATTTTCGCATGCCCTCTGAGCCCGCAAGGACCTCTTCAAGCCCCGCGCATCCACACCAGCCCGTCCAGCAACTTTGCCCTGGCGAGTTGCCTTGATCAGAGAAGGCGGGGAGCATAAAGTGGAAAAAAGGACCGCGTTGCAGTTATCTTGGGAAAGGAGGGGGGGGCAGGAGGAGTAAACAGGGGACGAGGAGAACGCGGAAGAAGAGAATATGTAAGGATAATGTGGAGAGAGAAAAGGAGGAGGAGCAGGACGAGGACGAGGAGGGGGAGGAGGGGGATGATGATGATGATGATGATGATGATGATGATGATGATGATGATGATGATGATGATGGTGATGATGATGATGATGATGGTGATGGTGATGGTGATGGTGATGATGATGATGATGATGATGATGATGGACGACTATGGGAGGACGATGATGGAGGCCGATGAGGGGGAGGACGACAATGGGAGGACGATGATGAAAGGACGAGGGGGGAGAGGGAGGACGAGGAAGAAGAGGAGGAGGAGGACGAGGAGGAGGAGGATGACGATGACGACGAGGACGAGACGAGGACGAGGAAGAGGAGGAGGAGGAGGAGGAGGAGGAGGAGGAGGAGGAGGAGGAGGAGATCGCCATCGACAAGGAAGGTGGGGCCCACGAGGTCCGCCGGCTCGACGACGCCCGCGTCGCCCGCGCCCGCCCCCTCACTCTTATCCGCAATTGCGGGGTGCTACGTAAATGTTTACACACATATGTACTAGGCCCGACAGTCTGCCAACGACTCAGCGAGTCCCAAAGCCTGCTGCAACATGGCTGACGGTACTGTCGCTGGACGCCCGTCGGGGCCGCGCTCCCTTGCCATGCCCCCGATGACTGCGGGGGCAAAGCCGCGCGCCATCGTGAACCCCCCGAAGCTCCCCTTCCCCCCTTCCTACTCTCCTCCTTGCTCCCTCCTCCTCCTCCTCTTCCTCCTCCTCCTCCTCTTCCTCCTCCTCCTCCTCCTCCTCCTCCTTGCTCCCTCCTCGTCCTCCTCTTCCTCCTCCTCCTGCTACTCCTGCTCCTGCTCCTGCTCCTGCTCCTCCTCCTCCTGCTCCTCCTCCTCCCCCTCCTCCTCCTCAGGACTCACCTCTTGGCTGCTGGCAGCAGCCGCTGGCGCGCCATGGGGGGACCCATCGGCGCCGTGCCGGCGCTTCTCTCGGACGCGACATGGCAGCCGCACTCGGCGATACGCTGGGCGCGCCAAGTGCCAGGCGGGGAGGCGCTCGGGAGGATTCCCCAGGCCGCGGACGAGGCATTCAATCAATTCGGCGAAGCGCTGGGGTTCCGGGGTGACCTAGCGAACGACCTGCGCATGGCCTGCTGGCACTGCGGCGGCCGAGCGCACGGGTCTTGCATTGGACCTGGCTCAAGGAGCAGACTTCTA